TTGTTTTTTTTCTGCACAAATTCTATTATTATTTTTTCTCTCTATATACTGTGAGCTACCCTTTTTTCTGTCATCCGCTTTAACTTTTAGTATTATATTTTTACAACGTTCAAGATTTACGCGAGTTTTTGTCTAGCTAAACATATAATTCGTCATTTCTTCGAACAACTATAATGTCATATTTGTTGCGTAATAGTTCAGCGCAGCGCTTGAACAATATTATCAACTGATTGTGCAGCTTAGGAATAATTTAATATAAAGTATTGAGAGTTTTCTCTTTAAAAACACAAAATTCAAGTAATTTGAATTTCGTTCCTTATTTATTTAACACAACTATAGATTTTATAATATTTCTGATACATATCTGCATTGCAGAATGGATTTTATTAATTATTATTTTTTTTAGTGTCATAACTTAAAACTATTTTCATTGAATATCAGATCATCTGATAACATTGTTATCAGAATGTTCGAAACAACGATATGCAGTTTTATGATTGCCATAATAATTATATTTCGTTTATTCGTTTTATAAGATTGTAATTTAATAGGTGAATGATAGGAACTTCTTCGTTCGTTTGTTGATCTTCAATGTTTTCAGTTTTTAATCAAAATGGGAATTCGAATACGAGGTTTATATCGAAATTTGAACTGAATACTGATAAGAATATATCGAATAGGATATTTTCATAGAGAGATCGGTATCCATCAATAAAACAATAGCTTATTTTTTAGCATATTTAGTTTATCAATCGATATTGTCTGCAACTAGTCGTAATATAAATAATATTATAGTTTCTAAATAACTATTATTCGATCCTTGTACGTAATTTAAAAATATTTTTAAATAGATAAAGTACTTTCAAATTTGTGTATAATTTGAAAAGTTTCATTGAGTATTTAAATATTCATAATGAATATTATCTGTAGTAATTAATGTCTCAAGAAAAGTAGTTTTTAATATATCTTGTTTATCTTAATCACGCAGTAATAGCAGGAACAGCCCAATTATATCAGCTTCATCAAAAAAGGGACAAAATGATTTCTGAATACAAACATAATAACGCAATCACGAAATCTACTAAGGCTCAAAGAATCCAAATACTCCTACAACATGAGAGTATGTCGTGGTTTCCTGCACATACCACCATCGATTCGAGCGCCGCGCAGTGTATTTGAAATTTTAAGCAATTTCTTTTTGAATCGCGAGAAGCTTTTCTCTCTTTCTCTCTCTCTCTCTCTCTCTCTCTTTCTCTCTCCTTCAGTGTCTCAATCGAGCGCCGTATAAACGTGCGGCGAGCACGATACCGGAAAATGAATGTCCCAGCATAAGTGTATTTTCGTGTGCGCTGGCGTGCCGGTTTATAAGGAGGTGGCGGCGAGTGTAACTCGGTCGGAGCTCTCGTGACTCTCGACGTTTATCTTTGATCTTTCAATTTCTCATACTTTTCGCTCTCTTATATACGTGGAAAGCAGAGCAGAGCGTGGCGAGATCGTCGAGCTCGACTTATATTTGAGTGTGTCTGTCCGAGAGAGAGAGAGAGAGAGAGAGAGAGAGAGAGAGAGAGAGAGAGAGAGAGAGAGAGAGAGAGAAGAGAGAAGACGCAGGGGTAGGCGAAGATGCTTGCTCCGTTGCGCCCGGAAATACGCTGAGCGAGAGACCGGAGAACGAGGACGCTGCAAATATTTATATACGAGCTAGACGGGAAATTGTTTGCGAAAATTATGCAGATGGCCGCTTATTTCTACTCCTCTGCCCGCGGTGCTTTTCTTTCGCTATCGCTCTTTTTTTCTATATTTTAGGATACAAAGGATTATGACTTTCCCACTTCTTTGCTCATAGTATTATGGAATATTTCAATAACGCCACTTATTATGCCTGTTTACGAAATGTATAATTTAGTCTGCTACAATATCGAAATTTCATTCCTGATAAGTAAAGAAACCTATTGCTTCCTTGATATATAGTTTGGATATTTGAGCATTCTATATATCTCTTCTATATGAACAATTTTTTACGTTCTTTATGGTAATCAGATGTGTATTTCTATTTTTAGTATTATTTTTTATCGACTATAACATTTAATAAAGGATTATGAAGAAAAATATCATTCATATGTACACACTAACTTGAAATTAAGTGATCGGGTCAACGTTTAGTCAGACATTACACAAGTCGACGATTGGTAAAAATCGAAATTTGATATATTTAAGAAATTTAAGTAATTGATAAATTTTTTCGTTTATACGAATACTTTCAATAATATTTTCAGAATTTGAAATACATCAGAAACACCCGGAAGTTCCTGAAACTTCTATGTAAATACAGTAGCTTTCAATCGAATGACCTACAAGCCTTCGTCGTAAAACTAACGACCGGCTGGCATTACCTTATAGGCGAGCGATACACATTTGTTCTCCGTATAGAGGGGGAGAGTAGCATACATATAGAACCGCTGCTTCTCTAATTGTCAAATTGCGTGTTGGTAGGGCCACCCCCTTAGCGACAATGAAGTAGCTTCAACCCCATTGCCGTCATCACTGAGCCTTTCGATAAGGACGCGCGTGCGACTTTAAGAACCTGCCGACCTTAATGTTTTAGGTCGACGATCTCCCTTTTAAAACACCAGTCTACTGAAGGCCTATGTGCATTACTAGAGAGCAACATCGAAAATCATTATACTCTAACGCTCGGTTTATAAATTGTGCTTCGAAAAAATATGTTGATCGTATTTTCTTTTCGGTGTTCAAAGTAATAAGATATCTACTCGAGCAGCAAAAAGTTTCTCTTTGACATAAAAATATGGCCCTATAAATACAAAAAGTCACTTTTATACTCAACTATCTTGACAGTCTTTATCATATAAGATCGTAAAGGCGATAACCACTGATACGAACAATGGTACGAAATATTTTTATTGCAGCTATTATTATACGTATCATTCCTGTATCTTTCTGTTGATAGAGAGCGAGAAAAAACGTACGAGCGAACCAATCGTTCCCTCCGATAGTTGATTATGAAACGGTACCGAGAAAGTTTCGACGTGGTTAGGTATATAAGCAATTCTAATTTTCGCCAATGTCCTACACTCTTGCTTGTTCATTCTTTCAGCCTTCATTAGCCGGTATAGCTCTGGAAAATGCTGCTTTTTGTATTTTATTCAATTACATTTACTTTTGAATGCACAATATATAGGTTTAAAATAAATTTATTTAACGTTAAACTAAATTTATTTACACTTATGAATGATTTACTCTAATGTTGAAAACGTAAAATAAATGTATTCAAAAGATCATAATTATTCTTTATTTACAATAATTGAAAATGATTTTGAACTGTTGTTCTTCACATCACGTGCTATAATTTTTCAAACTGGGGATTCCGCACAAAACCCACGCACTACCATTGGCCCAAAACAATGGATTAATCACACGAGGATTCTGACACAGATTAACAGGAAATCCCTAGGAGGATAACATGATCCGTCGTTCACGCGACGACAAACGAAAACTTGATTTTTCATGCGGTCTGTCTTTAACAATTAAAGTCGTTGGTACGAAACTGAGAGCACATTATATAATTGCTAATCCTCTAGTTGCTGACGCAATTTTCGAACGATCTCTTATCGTTAAGAGGTACGCGTACGCGGGAAGAATAACAACGCTAGTACACATAAAGCTGTAGACAACGGCATGTATCTACGAGTAGAATGCTGCGGACAGCAAATGATACCCTAGTGGCGATTTCGCTGAGTATGGCGTACTCTTCGTTACTTAATTCCTTCTTGTTAGTTTATATTTTGCTTGTATAGCTTATTGGTTATTGCTTTAGTATTACCAAGCCAAATTAGTTAGAACTTTTTATAGTGACAAAACTTTTATGGCTGAATAATTTGTTGTTTTTACTCTTCGTATGGAGCTATGGATATTTTTAAAACATGTAACGTTTGGAAATCGAGTGTACCCGTAAATGTTCAGGCGTGCTTCTTCTTTTGCATAATTTAAAAATGTATTAATGCTCAGTTCTAGAATTTTGCACATTTATCAAATAAAAAAAAGAGTTAATTCAATTATTCATTCATATGTTGTATAAAAGATTCTTGCTCCTTTTTATTTGGAGCTTATCGTAGTGAGCTTTTACTTCATCACTTTCAGTAAGATAAACGTCAAGAGCATTGAGCTTGTAATTTGTTCAATATTTCGAATATATTTTATAAAAATACAATCTTTGTAGCTGAAAAACTGAATAACATAAATCACTTTTAAATGTAACTTTTGTGTGTGTAATCGCGTATTGAAAAAGGAATTCATCAAAATCAATCCATTCATTTCTGTCAATAACGCCATGGTAAGAGTTTTTAATTTCCGTATGCTGTATGACGCAAAAATAAAAGATTTTTCAATAAAAGCGAGATAATTGAAAAAGGTGTCATTAAAAATATATATACATATATACTTACCAACACATTTTTATTTTTTCTCTCTTGCTCTGTCGATCAAATATTTGGCCAAATTAACCCGGATATTCAAGACTAAAGCTCGCCAGTTCAAATAGAAATTCAATCAAGTTCGTAGCGCTTCCAATTAGCCTTTGATTACAGCCTAATTAGAGTTAGTGCGGCGTCTAATCTATTTCCATTAAACAAACTTGTTTGGTCATAAATAAACTTAATAAAAGTTCACTAGATATGATTATCCGAATTGGATTCTTTCAACCTAATGAAAAATCAAGCCTCGAGGGCAGCAAGCAACAGAAACAATTCGCAAAAGCAACGGGCAATGACAAAAGGAGCAAAAAACACGCGAGAGAGTGAGAGGCAGAGCATATATACAACAAATACCGATAGCTATCATTTTAATTAGAGCGCACACGCGGAGGAACTCGTTAAACACGCTCGAGCGAACATATCGCTTCGGACCATACACAAACGTCACATCCTCGCGTGCACATATAGATGATATATATATAGGTATAGTATACGTCGGATGAAATTGCTTACCGAAAGCAGGCTTCGCGAAGAGAGTAACACATCACTTTGCAGCTCGACTGACGTTCTTCGCACTGCACGCCCCGTTGTTATACACGCGTGTATGTGTATACATATAGTTACGGGCGAATGCACACGATATGTGTGGCTCGCGCACGCATACACCAACCTCTGACCCTTTCCAGCTCACGTCATCTTCCCAAGGATATTTAGGCTCTGGTATTGTAGACGTCAATTGACTGCATTTCGACCTACCTCACTCTAATTAAGTGCCAAGATATTTCCTTTTCTTTTCTCTCTCTCTCCCAAATTTCTTTGCGCGTTAAATTCAATGCAATTGTCTTTAGCACTTGAATGTCTTCGATACCGTCGTAAACACTTTTTTGTAATTGTTTACTTTTTCAAATCGTGATTTTTTTCGCACCTATCTGATAATAGTTCTCACGCTAAAAAACAGCCGATCAAATTTTTTTTTGTCAATTTACACGTCATTGTATCTAGCCCTTGAAAAATAAATATTTTCGAATAAAACAAATGTCACTTTAACACTGCTGCTTGCTACTTAATTCTTGTATTAAAACGCAAACGGCAACTATCTCTTATTTTACTAAAACTAAATCATAACAGAACTCAAATTATTTTACCAGTATATAGAAAATCATTTCTAAAATTACACTGAACATGGAATAGTAAATTCTTAAAAGAAAGGATGGAACAACACGTAAAAATTGTTGAGAATCAGGTGTGAGAATGGGCGCACGGTTGTTCGAGGTAGCTCGATGCGCGGTTCGAGTGAGACTGAGAGTTTCACGCGCGCGCTATACGCTTCCCCGGGGCTGCTGAACTTCTCTCTCTTTCTCTCTCTCTCACTCTCTCGCTTTCAGCCAGCAGCGGCAGCAGCGGTAGGGAGAGAAAGAGCAATGATCTACGGGCGCACACTCGCGATTGACCGTGTACATTGAGTTTGCACCTGTGTCGCCTTCGTTTGTCTTGTTTTGTCTTTCTGACGTTCTTAGTTAAATGACTCCACTGGGATTCAAAGAATAGAGTTTAGCCTATTCATTTGAAGCCAAGAGTAAAACTTTAGAATATAGCTTTTTTTAAGCTTTGTAATTGAATTTTTCAGCAAAAATATGAGTGAAGCAATTTATTGCTGAGTTGTGATATTTATTGGTAAAGGCTGAGTGAAAAATCGTGTTGCGGGCTCACTGTAGTATTCCGATGAAAAAACCTAGATGTAAATTTAATAACAGTAAGCAATAAGTTTTTCAATGTATTGGTCCAGTTTTCAGTTGAAAACTTTCTCGCGTATTTACTGGTTGTGCATAAAACATGGATCGTGCAACGCAGCTAATTAAGAAAAATCTAATATCCATACAATCCTGTTATATAGAGTATACAGGGAATTAGTCACGAACAAGTTTTAATGTAAAACTAAAGTATCGGAAAACTATAGCTGGGATTGAATAATATCAAATGAATTATGCGCCTCATAAATCAGGAAGCTATCCCTGTATTAAGATAATACTGTCTTCCATATACAGCTGTATCTTTGTATTGGGAACCGAAGATAGAATATATACAAGTCGAAGGATCGAAATGGCTGAATTGCAAATTGCAAATCCGGCTATGTATTCATCGCTCCGGAATGCCATTCAGTAAGCGCGAGCGTGCGCATGGCCCAACGCTTGAGACTCGATGCGCAAGCGGCCAGTCTAATAAGCAGCGCGGCTCGAGGTAAATAAGCCAAGGATATCGATTTCATGTCGATGAATATTGCCCAGCTAACTTGTACTCCATTCACGGATGACTTACTTTATTATGAAGAAAGTTCGAGCTGAACATAAAGATGTAGATTGATTGTCGTGAATAGCAGCAGAGACAAACGATATTTTCGAATGAATAAATTATCTAAGCAGCGCCATCGTAATATCGTTGATGGTAACGGCATCGACAACAAAATAGAAAATCAATAAGAAAAAAATTTTTTTTTTCACGCGATGCTTTCCTCGCATAATCATTACACATAAAATATCACATGATTGTCATAGTAGAGCTTAATTACAAGTTCTACTGTTTGTGGAGTTGGAATCATGCAAAATCGATGATACATAAATAATCAGTTATCTCAATCAACGTTACGGTTAAGAAATTCTATTAACGCGTGCCGCGAAGATCTACCTCGATTTCTTAACATTTGAAATGCTATTTTTTGAAAATGTGCAGTAAGTTGCGATCCACAAAAAGTGCAAAAATCAATAGCTTAGGCAGATATCGCACACGTAAATAGCCAATTCCAATTTAGCCTTGGAAAGAGAGTACAAATTCGCAGGGCTACGTTTGCGAGCGGCGTGCTATTTATCTTTCTCCGGGTGTAGCAGCAGTAGCAGCAGCAGGGGCCCAACGCTCGCTCGCTTACACGGGCTATCGGCGTTCGCGCGTTCGCGCGTTCGCGTAATAAATTATCATTTTACCTGGGCTGGCGCGTATCAAAGTATCGCGCGTCTGTACGAGCGTGAAATATGTTATGCATTTACGTTTCCAGAGTAAGGGTCGCACGCGCGAGCGATCCCTTTGATTAACGGGCGCGTCCAATCAATAGTCAATAGTTTGCGTTTTGACGTTTGCGTGCTGTTCGCACGATTCTAGAAAGAGCTTATAGGGCGCGCTTGGGACGCTTTGCGAACCTTGATGAAGCGTCGGACAGCCAAAGGCCTACTTTTGTAACTGATGATCGTGCAAACGTATTCGTTGCCGAAAAGTACTCGACGTCGTTTATGGAGAATTCCGGCGATTCTTCATTGCAAAAAAACAAAGCGAATTCATCGTTCAGCCGATAAACATTATTTTTAAATTCATTTTACAAACGCACCATCATTCGAGATATCGCAAATAACCTGGATTCGATTACAAGTATCCATCATACAAGTGGACTACGAAAATGTATTACTTTATTGAAATATTGAAGATATATACTCACGCGATACATTATTCTACATGAAATACGTTTTAGATATTATATAAAAAAGAATTATTCTCGTCATTTCAAAATTCCAAAGTGATGAACGACACGCGACAATGACAATGATGCAATAATGCAGATTTACGTGTAGCAGCTGCATACAAATAGAAGGTGCAGAAAAAAAAAGAAAGAATAAATGCTCGCAGCCAATTAAACACAAAAGTATTAAGCTTCCACAGGGAGTAGCTCTCGTGGCGGCAGAAGCTTTTGAAACATTAAACAAGAAGTTTTTGTGGCAGCTTGACATTTAGAGTCGAGTTTGTCTTGTTGTTTTTATATCTCTAATAGCTCCGTCGGTATACTACTCGGCCACATTGGCATTATCAAAGGTAAATTTAATATCGTTCTAGCCGGGAAAAGAAGGTGCAAGTGAGATAGAGGATCAAGTTGACGTCCAAGAAAGAAGTTACGCGGGGAAAACTAGGCGTATCTGCCGCGCTCGCGCGAAACCCTGGGGATTTATGTCGAGCAAAAGAAAACGACGGACTGGTTCGTTTTTCTTATTCGCTTTCTTTCGTTTCCTCGCAACTCCGCATATTGCACGGCGCGTACGTTGTACACTCCACTTTAATACCGAAACTGCAGACTACACTGACAGTCTACCAAAACGACTCTTGAGATTTTTATTGCGGGGTTATTCTTGTGTCGTGGCCCATCCTTTTTCAAATCAATTGCAAACTGATATGACTATAATATTGATTGGGCATTAGTTAATCGCGGTTACATGGATTGTTTATGCACGTACAGCCAACGCTGCTTATATTGGAAACGTTTCAGTTTTCACGTATCTCGTGTGTTAATAGATTATACATAAACCACCGTGAAAGTTCACGGCCAACTTGATTAATGTAACACTTGTAAGTTGCCTCATGGTTATATAATCCTAATAATAATCCTACTGTGGTGACAGCCTTTCTTGCTATCACTCATGTCTTTCTCTTCTGTCAACATTGACAGCGAAAAAGAGCGTGACTTTGTAAGATTATTGATAAAAGTTTCGTCAAAGTTAAATGGATACTTATTCGTAGAAAATCGTATGGAGCGCTGATGTCTTGCAAACTTGTTATCGTGGTATCAAGGGTGCGGCACGTTTTACATCTAGATATCGGACAGACAGTCAACAAACTTACGATTAGATTTCGCTGGTCGTATAGAAAGAAAAATATAATAGAAGATTATCTATCTCAACGTTCCATTATTCTTTTATCGATGTAGAGCTCCCTTTCTCACAAAGCTCGCGAAATTTAGACGGCATTAAATTTGCGGACGATTCGTGAGAAGATGGCTATGCCCTTTGTGCAGGAACAAACTAACTTTTCATTCAATAAGGGAAACAAATTAAAAGGCATAGAGTCTTGTTGGCAAATGCAGAACCTCGATAAATTGCAAAGAATAAGACATTCCTTTCATAACTCGCAGCTAGCTCTCCATATTAAAAAGCCCGGGCTTTAGAGAAGAGAAGGAAAGGGCAAAAGAAAAATGTCTACCATTCGCAAAAGCGCGCGCGAGAGACGTTGCGCAGAAACTCGCGCAGGTGACGCAATAAACAGTCAGCCAGCCGCGCTAGCTGAACTTTGCTTCGCTCTCACTGAAACGAATCTTCCAGCAAACTCATATCTTAGCTTGCATATAATCCAGAGATCGCGAAAGAAAAAGAATTCAATGTTTCAGGTGTGGTGTGGAGAAACCTATTTTCTTAGTTTCCGGCTTTTATCCGTGTATGCACAGCACGCACATATTCAGCAGCCCTTTTGCTATATATATATGAGCAAGTCTTACTCTTCCTATCCAAGCAAGGTTCTCAGCCTCCCCCTTAAAGTCCAGCAACGCCGCCACCCAACCGATGCAAAGTCCCATGAAATATTTCCTCCACCCAAACCCGAATTCAACCAGGGAAAGTGTACACTACTGCTCACAAAGCTTTTGATTTTACTTACTGATTATTGTTTATTTTTTATCGATAAAAATATACTTTCAATTAAATAGTTCTAAATGAAAATGAGAAATTAGATTATGTTTTGGAAATTTTAAATAACAGAACAATATAAAACCTTTTGACTCAGCTTATTCTTGTTTGGTTTGTAGAGTTTGCAATATTTTTTCACTTAAATATTACTAATTAGAAATAAGGTATTCAAGCTTGGCTTAATTTTAATAAAATTGCAATTGCATTTCATGAAAATATCGTGGATTTAATCTATCTACATAAAAAGTCTGGAGGGAGAAGCAAGACTGATGATAAAAGTAAGAAAATCCAAGCTTACAGAAATTGAATCTAAATTGACTAAAAAATCAGTCCATGCAGAGAGAGAAGACAATTGTAATGGAATGAATAGAAATCAAGGACCAGTGAAAGAGAGACAAAAATAGAAAGCACGTCGTTGGGAGGAGAGTGGAGAAAAAGGAAAGTAAAGAGGAGAGAACGGGAGGAGGGTAGTGTCGGCTCGATTGTTGAGCTTACCCGGTTGCACGCTGTTTTCAATTCCACGACGTTCATTCCACTTTCGGACGATTCTTTCGATTCTCAAATGGGTATTACGCGTTAAATTTAAATGTGGAAATAAATTAAAGAGGACATCCGTTCCTTTTTTAACCTTTAACTTTGTTCGTTTAAAAAAATATTGGAAAATTGATTTTCATTGGTTTAAATCGAGTGATTAGTTGATTTGCACGTGGCATAACTAATATATTTAAAATCAGATAAATGGTTATTTTAAAAGTAGATGTTCTCTACTAGAAAATATACTGTAATTTGGTAC